CACGCGCGTGTCCTGTGACATGAAAATCAGCTAAGAAATGGTATCTAATGCGCATGTGTATCAGCTGACTCTGTCCCTTTAAGAAACCACTGGACCTCCATGACTCTTGGTGGGTTAATTTAAGAACATAAGTACTTTTCGAGTGTAGGTTTTTGTTGAGGATCGAGGGTAAATTGTCGAGGGTAGTTTTTTTTAATAGTTTTTTTGAGCTTTGGTCGCAAGATTTCCCGATTTTTCGGGAGTAAAAACATTCCTCGCAACAACAAGAAATTAATGAAACTATCTTTGCTCAACTGTCCCCAGCTGGTAGGAAAAAGCCTTCAGAGAGCAAAGTATGTATTACAATGTAACAATAACAAGTTGCATGTCATTTAGTAATACATGCAAGCAACTGCTGACACAGTTTGGGATGTCCTGCTAGGCGGTACTATCTCCTTAGATAATACAGGCCAAAAGGACAATGCATTTTTTACGAAAACAAAAAAAAACGCTCCTGTTGAGTTGCCCTGGCCTTTTGAAAACCTAAAGAATGACCGTTTGGGAATAAAAAACCCATATATAATATACCTCCTAACAAATGTTGCTAAAACTCACGATGTCTCGCTGGACGGTACCAGTTTCTCTGGTAATACCGGCCAAAAGGGCAGGGCCACTTTTATGAATAAAAATATTCCTATACAGTTATCCTAAGCTTGTAGAAACCTACAGAAATCAAGTTCTACAACACCGTTTAACAATAAAAAACCCAGATATGATATACCTCCTAACAAATGTTGCTAAAACTCAGGATGTCCCGCTGGACGGTACCAGTTTCTCTGGTAATACCGGCCAAAAGGGCAGGGCCACTTTTATGAATAAAAATATTCCTATACAGTTATCCTAAGCTTGTAGAAACCTACAGAAATCAAGTTCTACAACACCGTTTAACAATAAAAAACCCAGATATGATATACCTGCTAACAAATGTTGCTAAAACTCACGATGTCTCGCTGGACGGTACCAGTTTCTCTGGTAATACCGGCCAAAAGGACACGGCCACTTTTATGAATAAAAATATTCCTATACAGTTATCCTAAGCTTGTAGAAACCTACAGAAATCAAGTTCTATAACACCGTTTAACAATAAAAAACCCAGATATGATATACCTCCTAACAAATGTTGCTAAAACTCAGGATGTCCCGCTGGACGGTACCAGTTTCTCTGGTAATACCAGCCAAAAGGGCAGGGCCACTTTTATGAATAAAAATATTCCTATACAGTTATCCTAAGCTTGTAGAAACCTACAGAAATCAAGTTCTACAACACCGTTTAACAATAAAAAACCCAGATATGATATACCTGCTAACAAATGTTGCTAAAACTCAGGATGTCCCGCTGGACGGTACTATTTTCTTCGGTAATACCGGCAGAAAGGACAACGCCACTTTTATGAATAAAAATGTTCCCATAGAGTTATTCTAAGCTTGTAGAAACCTTCAGAAATCCAGTCCTACAACGCAGTTTAACAAAGAAAGCTAGAGGTGATGTAAATGCCAACAAATGTTGCTATAATTTAGGATGTCCCTTTGGACGGTACTATTTTTTTTCCATAATACCGGCCAGCGGGACAAGACAATTTGACAAGACATTTATAAAAGGATTGCTTACTATACAGGACCAAGAACACTTCAAAACTCACAATGAACGTAAGCTGCGTCAATAATACCTTAAATCACCCTGTAACGTGCAACCTAAGCAAATCAACTGGCGTTCAACTACACTCAGGTTCTCGCCTCTCTCTAAAAGCTCATTATTGAGTTGCTCCTCCAGGTTTTCAACCAAGCCTAAATGTTTGGTTGTTACTTCTTCAAGGGCGTTCCATGGCGTCATCTCTGTGCTCACCCAGCTCAGAGGATCAGGGTTTTTTCTTATTGTTCACATGAACGTTTATTCAAACATTTATAGTCTTGCAACATGGGTGCCATCACGACGGTGCCATCATAAGCTACATAAATAAAATTTAGTTAATAATAATCAGTAGCGATAACAAAATCTCCCACAAAAGATGAAATTAACAAAAATATTCATAGCCTTAATTAAACTGTACAATATTAAAAAAACATATTTAAATAAGACTTTCACTTAATAGAAAGGATGATTGGCAGAGCACTGAGGTACATTTTCGTGACTTCTGCGGTTTAACGCCTTTTATGGAGATGCCATCGATGAATCCTCTCCGTCAGCCTCAGGCACGCCTAAACGAGCTGCCACAATTGAAGACTCCCAGCCCCTCTGCGACCAACATTTCCTAACTTTGCTTCTCTCCAATGTCAAAAGTTAAATGTTTCAAAACTTTTAATTCACCTAGCTAAAACCTCAAAGGAACATCCGGGCTTTAAAACTCAGGTTGCCAGCGTTTAGCCAGTTCACGGGAGGAAGTGTTCTGATGTTGTACACAGGTTCAGGCTTGAGCTTGGGGTAAGCCATGACTCGCTCGAAAGAGGTCATGGCGTCCTCGACGTCTGAAAATTGCTTTACAGCGAGCTGCCACATAATTTGCTTACATTTGACAGTTTATCCGAGTTGGAATAGTCGCAATACAGTTTGAGGGAAACCCGAGCACTTTAGTGACGTTTTCGGTCATGGTTGCTCAAAGGTCCCTATCATACCATTCGTGCATCTGCATTTTTTATGGTTATCTATGATTTCGAGAAATTTTGGTAGTCATGTGGCCGAACGCTAGTCAGTCTGTCCGCACCACAGCGTAACCAATGCGAAAGGTCGCATTTTCTAGCTTGTAGGGGAGCCCGTTATTACCTGCGTTTAACTTGATAAGGACTCAGGTGATGTGGCAAGGCATCCCTATCGCGCTAAATTTAACAACCTTTCAATGCCTAGGAACATGCATGAGAAACGTTTAAGAAAAACGAACTCCTCTTGACAAAAGTTGGCTCCCCTACTCAATCCACATGATACTTGGGTTTAACTTGCTTAAGCTGCACTACTCGCATAAATGCTCAGTTACCCCTCCCCTCATCGGATACCTTTTACGCCGATACGAAAACCATACTAGTTAGGGCTTCTGTTTACACATAAAAATGGCAATTTCGAAACGATTTCTGTTATGGAGCGAGTTAGTCTCCCTCGCAGCCGTTTTTAGTATCGTCACGCAACGCTCCTCCCCACAGAGGGAGGGAGGAGCGTTGCGTGACGATACTAAAAACGGCTGCGAGGGAGACTAGGAGCGAGTCTGCCCCGCGTCGATCTCGAAAGTGGCGCTTCATATGTTGGATAGTCTCTTTTTTGTATTTTAATCAATCATGGCATTTTTTTTCTTTTTTTTGTTTGTTTTTGCTCGGTCCGAATACCTGTTCACACTGCTCCAGAGTGTGACAAAGAAGGATCAATTTAGGTCTGTAGGAAACTGCCCACCTACCCCTCCCCTAAGTTAACATTAACACTTACTTCTCACTAAGGGTAAAATGATGGCTTAGGGGAGGGGTAGGTGGGCAAGTTTCCCAGTAACCTAAATTGATCTTTCTTTGCCACAATTTGGAGCAGTGTGAACAGGTATTAGGACCGTATGTAGTGGAAGTTAACAATTAGAAACGATTACTGGAACTGACTGAGACGGATTGGGCGAAGTAAATACGGTATTTAAGAATGAGGATGTAATTCAACAAACCCTCTCCGGCATGATGTTCAATTGTGCGAGGGACTTGTTGGAGACTCGGGCCGTTGCATGAGTTCATACTATACAGAGCCTTGGTGTTAACATTGCGTTAGGGATGTGGGGGGGGGTGGGGGATAGAAGTAGGTTACTGGACGTCTTTACTCACTTTGCCAGAGCTATGCATATTTATCGAAACAGAAGAAAGTTTTCATATAATAATAAGGTTCAACTCACCAACCTGGCTGACACCAACTTGGCCGCTGTTTTATTCCTTTGGGGCACCAACATAGCCGACGCGACGTCATGATTAAACAGAATCCGTTCATCGTCCAATTTGATGATTTTTAATTTGACGATAGCAAAGGCAAAATCGGAGAGAAAATAAGTTTTACTTATTCCGTAACGACAAACCAATTGTTTTGGATAATCCAAGGAAAGGAAAATTTCAAAGCTGATTTAAAAGTGTCACACTAAAGAGCATCGTTGTTGTTAACGAAAACATGAGTTCAGTTTCTTTTAAAGCAGGAACCAGTTATGACAACGATCATAGTCACAGGCTACCAATCTAGTAAGGAAGAATTTTTTCAAACTACGGCACAGGGCTGGAAATTGTCAAAAAAGGAACAACACGATAGCAACCATTCTTGCATGCCTGTACGTGAGAAGCCTAGAAACGAGGTTAGCGGCTGGACAAATTTTAAGAAGGTCTCCTAGATAGCAAAACTCTCTTCATCATTCCTAATAGAGAATTTAAGCCACCAAGCGTAGGGAAAGAATATTTGTCCTCAGGCTCAACTGAATTAACAGCTACTGGCGAGGTAACAAAGTGCAGACTCTTTGGTGAAAGAAGGCTGGACGGTTGAAATTCAGAAAACTACCCATCGACCCTCCCCTAAGCCCCTCTTTTCGTCCGGAGTGAGAAGTTTGTCTTAGCGTTGGGTAAGCGAAGGGGTGGGTAGGTAGTTCCACCAAGCCCTCCCCCCCTTCCCCCCTAACGTACCAATTTATCCTAGTGATAAGTCCCTGTTAAGGTTGGGTTGGGGAGAGGTGGGTGGATTTTTAGTCCCATTTACAACTTCCCTAACCCACCATTTTGTTCTGAGTGAGACGTTCTTTCAGTGGTGGGTTAAGGGAAGGGTGGGAGGGTAGTTTCTTTGAATAGTAAAGTGATGCGCTATTTTAGATATAAATACGCAACATTTTTTTTTTTGGAATGCTTAGTCTTGTGCGTTTTATTTTCTAGTCATCTTTAACTACATATTCAGCATGTTTTGTCCCAGCATATTTCAAACTACAGGCAGCTTATTCATCCAGCCAGGTTTTTCTTTCTTCGGCTTCTTTTTTGTCTTAATCACAAGCGCACATATCCGATGGACAATTTGCCGGACAGTTCTCATTGCACCATTCATCCATACCAGGAACGTCTTCCCATACTCCTATTGCATGGCATTCACCAGAGGTAGTTGGAGAAACGGTAGGTGAGGTGCTAGCAGGTGAGGTGCTTTCAGGTGGGATGGTAGATGGGCCAGGGGTTGGTTCGCCTTCCAAAGCGTCGTTCACTGCGTTTATTAACGGATAACTAAGACAAGAAAAAGGTATTTTACTTGTTTTTCATTACAATCTATTTTGGGCGACAATTCAATAACCAACGGTGGTCGCTCATTGACCCAATGAATTATGCCATTTCCTACCGTAACTCATGATCAGAGTGATGTGTGTGCAGGAATCATAACAAAAAACAACAAACAAACCATTGTATGTTAACCATTGTAGGGTTAACAAAACAGAAATCAAGATTGGCCAAAATATGTAAATGGCCAGTGACTTGAAAAAATATATATATATTTTCGGACACTTTGAGCTAGATGTAATATATTTTTCATGCCTACTTTGTGCGTACTCTATTTTTGTATTCATGTGATTGGTGTTAAAGAAAATTTGTCATTCTTGGTTTTTGGCTTTGCTTCAATTCATTTTATTTAATTTTTATTTTTATTTTCCTTTCTATAAGGATAAATAGTCTTACCGTTGATAGCTTGTTTCCATCACTACGACATTTTCGCTATGTAAAAACCCGTAGCAGATTGACGACGGCCTTTTTTCCCCTCTGTGACACGGCTTCACGCGCGCCCACTACCAAGTATTGAGAAAATATTTGTTCTCGTAGTTGTTCTCGTTTTAGAATCTAAAGGTCTCTATCATAACTTACGGTAACTAGTGTTTGTTTCCGTATTTTTCCAAGAGACTTCAGTAACCCCAAGTGCAAGAGAAACAATTAAGTAATTCTTGATGAATGGAAAGCAAGGTGACTTCGGGAATACATTACCTTCCTTCGCCGCAGAAGTCTCCTTGAAAGTCGTCCAGATCAAGGGCCCAGAACATGGCGCCTAGAAGATTTTTTTCTTCAATGAGTGTGCTAACTTTCAGTAACAAGCTGGTTTGGTCATCATATCCAACCCACTGATCATCGAGATATCCATATGGGGCTTCCACTTCAGTGTCTTCTACCACAGTCAACCCCATTGTACAAATCTCGTAGGAGGACCAAAATCCACCTTCTCCTGTGTAGGTACCAGCTTCGCCAGCACCAGTGACCGGGTCTCCCAGCGCGTTTTCGTTGGGGTCTGAAAGTGTAAACGTTCTTCCATACAATGCCAATCCTAATGTGATTTTCTCGCTCGGCATGCCCTGTGTATGGAAAAGGTCGCGGTAGTCATAAAAATACAAAATAAAAAATTGATTGATGATGAAAGGGGACTGAAGAGGGTGTGAATTACATTCCTTAGATATGAAAGTTGATAAAAGTTGAAACACTTTCGGGTGGTGAGAACGGGCGATCGGTAATACGTCTGCGTTTGCAGGCTACTTCGCTAGCTGTAAAACAAGATTCGCTGAAACGTTTATATGACGTGATTTTTTTTAGCATCTAGTTGCCAAATATATATTTCTTCTTTTTGTCTTTCTTTGGCAAAAAAACAAATAATCGCGTTTTCAACGAGAAAAGTACTATGTGAATGTTGGATGGCCAACTAGCTTTTGGTCTCATGAGGTCATATAGTAGAAGACAAAACCAGTTGTTCGTCAGAGACAAGAAGAGGCTTTTGAAATAATTGCCATAATAAACTGCATCGAGCCTACTATACCCAGTTGGTAAAGCTACTGAATTTAAAAGAGCAGTAATAAGTATCCCTAAGATTCAAGAACGTTCAATCTTTATCGAGACTGTACCTAGTTTTCATGGTAGGTTCTCCGTTAATGTTGGCTTTGTACAAGAGGGTCATGAATTTACAAGTACTATTTGTAACGGTAACAGGACTGAGTGGAGTCCAATTCGGTCTGTAATCATACGAGTGATTAACAAAATCGGACGACCGCGTAGCGGGAGTCTGATTTGTTTAATCACGAGTATGATTACAGACCGAATTGGACGACACGAAGTTCTGTTACCAATTAATCATAACTTTAACAAAATTTCTGATATAATAGGCTAATTTTTAAATCAAAACGCAAGAAATTCCAAATTTTGTTTTGCTAGCAGTGAAAAAAAAAGCCATTTAAGCGCGCGCGTGATGGCGCGTACTGTCCAATTACTTAGGCATGACGCGTACTGTCCTATTAAACTGTCCAATTAAGGCTGAAATCAGGGCAGTTGATAGCCAATCAGATTTGACAATTTTGTTATAGTTATGATTAAACAATTAATGAATGAGGCTGAGTATCTTATGAGGAATTATGGAGATCGACGAGGGTGTTATCGGCGGGTAACACCCTCCGAGATCTCCGTAATTCTTCTTCTGATTCGAAAGCCGAATTCAATAATTGTTTTATTATATTATTCATTCAAAATAATTCCTAGTTTAAAAACATAGCTACAGCATGCTTACCTCCATCGATGTTAAGTTCATCCTCGGTAGTGCGCCTTTAGGGTTGTTCAGCCCCGCAAATATTCTCCAAATAGAGGGGTGACGAATGGACTTTGCGAGCATTCGCGAGCACGCGAGCACTGCGATTTTTTTGTGAGCACGAGCAGAGATAAAAAATTTGCTTTACTAGCAGCGAGCAGCTTAGACAGTACAAATCGCAAGCAGGGAGCACTTCTTATATTTTCCGCTTGCAACAATCCATATGGAAATCCTTTTTTTTTTAAAAAAAAAAACAGAAAATATTTTACAACGGTGGCAGAACATCTGCGGAAGGCCCTCATGGTGTTCCATCCTCCGAGACTATTTCGGGAACAAGAATTACCCTGGAGGCTTTAAAACGAATTCAACGTAAAATAGAAGCTGTACATTGAGATTACGTGAGCAAAATAAATGTGAAAAGACCTCGTTCCCAGGGTTCTCTCCCACCCGTAGGGCTGGTAGGAGAGAACCCTGGGAACGAGGCTGAATGTGAAAGCCTTGGTGACTCTTCTCATCGAGTATTTCAACTCAAACAAGAACAAGTCTGGAAGAATCCTAAAGCTTCCAAACCGTTTTTATTGAAAACACGGCCTAATTAAAGCCCAGTGAGTAGAGAGGTAGAGAAACTCAGAAGAATTAAAGGTAACAATATCTTCTCTTTTTAACCATATATAGCTAGATTAGCTAATTTATTATTCACCGTTGTCATTTATCGCGTGCATTTCCTCTGAGCTTGCATTGATAGCCATATTTATAGGAATTAAGCACCATACAGAATTACATTTACTTTAACCCAAAGAAGGATTTACAAAATTTCGAGCAATACTGACAAGAAAGCGAGCATGCGAGCAAATGCAAAAATTTGGGGAGCACGAGCAAGAGAGCACTCGTTTAAATTTTGCGAGCGGTTAAAAATTTTAATGGACCATTCATCACCCCTAAATAGCACATGTCGCCCTTCGAGTTGTCTTCTTGATGTTCTTGCCATGTTTTTAGCTATTATTTGGCCTAGTTCTTACTCTTGAAACGAGTGAAATGTCCGACATTTTTGTTTTCACAACCAAAACAACTCAACCTCATCCCCAGGTCTTCTCGGTTAACGATGGGTTAACCTGCAAGGAAGCTGCGCTTTTCACGACATCGGTTGATTAATCGCAAAATTCTTCCAAATTTGGTGATCAGTAGCTGGTTATGGCGAATTATGCGTGTGCTTTTAGCCAATTAGAATCGGGGAAATATTGTGAAAGAATAAAAATTTGAATTATTTTTGGTGGATGATACATTACTTTTTACAGCCTACCGCTCATCATCAGATTACACGTGTTAACAAAGGCCTCGTCACATTAAATTCTCATAATATAACTAAGCATTTAATTAAGTGTTTTAACTCTTCTTGTTGTTCTTTGATTGTTTGTTTGTTTTTTTTTCCTTTTTTGCAACTTCTTTTTTTGTGTTTTTTTTTTGTTGTTTAATTATTCTATAGAGTTAACATAAAATAAAAGATGCGAAATTGTACCAGATTTAGCCAATATTCCACTGCAAATGTGACCGTCAATGTACTTCCAGAGGGGTCCACTAGGGCCGTGTGGTGCCCAGTGACGTTTTCCCAGCTTCCATGAAGATCGTACGCCATTAGGTTGACAAAATCGAGAATAGAAGCCAATTTGTCGACCTCATAAGCGGTGTCTATTGTATCTTTACCGGCTGCCACTGCTGCGGTCAGCATCAGGCGTGGCTGTCCCGTTTGCTCTGATTCTTCCTCGAATGCTGCTAACATCTCCTCACAAAGGATTGTAAAGCGTTCTCTATCCTCTGGTGGTGAGCCACGGTTTGCAGGGTACTCCCAATCCAGGTCAAGTCCATCAAAATCATAATCCCTTAACAAACTAACCAAAGATAACATAAAACGGTCTGGACTTATCCCTTTTCTCAGACAAAATAATTATACCTCTTTTGTCTGTTCCTAGACTTTCACTTAGCTAAACAGGAACAACAACCATTGATTGATTCTTGGTCACGTGACCTTTACTGAATTTGGAAGTATCCCGATTGTGATACAATTCAGCAATAGTATCCCGCTCGGAACAAAATAGCACGTGATCAAATTATAGCAAAATCAGGTGGAAAGTGTCTTGGGAGAAGGCGGAAAACCACTGCGCGTCAGTTTTCACTCTTGGGAATGAACACAACAACACAAACATGGAGCTTTAAGCTAAAGAGCCTGATGTTACCCTCGGCTTCGTCTCGAAAACATAAGGACTCGAATGAAAACAAAAATGTTTCCCTCGGAACATAACACTGATGGATTTAGTGCGTAATATCAAGCATCCAAAATTACCTCACTGATTATTTTTTTGTTGTTGTTAGATCTTATGTCCTGCGAACATAGGTTTCTCTCTTGCATGGCTTTTAGTATAGAGGGTCCACTTGTCGCTTGTCGGTTAAAATTTAGTTACTTTGTCGGTTGTCGGTTAATCTCAGTTAATTAGTAAAAATTCATGTGAATTATTAATATTTGTTATGCGTTTCACTCAGTTTCAAGACTTTGATCCCTAATAAAACATGTAAAAATTATAAAAATGCATGATTTGATTGAACTTAAACTTCATTATGCAACATGATAGTGTATTTCACCAAAGCCTTTATTGCAAATGCGAACTTGATTTCCCTGTTGATTACAGGGCACCATAAAAAGTAATGAAGAGAGGTTAATCGGACACAGAGCGAAACGCCCATTCTAACCTTTTAGATACGTAAATTATTTTTCGTGAAAAGCTGCAAGGGGTGACAGGTTGCACATCTATACCGGCGTGAAACCGTGTGTTGACCTTTAATATTTTGGCTGTAACAAGCATGTTCTTTGCCATGGTTTTCCTTTCTTGTAGGAAATAAGAGGTGGCTCTTTAAAAAATTAGTAAAGTAGCGGTTGGTTTTGTATGAGATTCCACTTTTCCATTAAAGCTTCTTTTACAGTAGACACAAAGGGTTGGTAGTGTGTCACGAAAGGCAACATTTCTTTTCCTTCCTTGGTTAGTTTTGTTTCATGAGCGCGGACTTCGGTTTCTGTGAGTTTTATTTATTTCTGATTGCAATTTGTCTTTCAAATTGTGCTCGCAACCTCTGTTCATCATCAACCATCAAGTGTTCTTTTGAATTTTGAAACACTTTCCTCAAATTCTTTTGACAAATCGGTGGGTGACAAGCCGCAAAATGTGTGCTGGAAGGTTTCCGTAGTCTTTTCATCAAGGATAACTTTTTCGTTTAATCTTGTGCCTTTGTATACAACTGTGTCTAAAAACATTGTCTCAGTAAATTTCGGAGAAGAATTTAATAGTAGGATCAGGTAAGTTTGCTTCTTCGAAGAAAGTGACGATGTCTGGTCTAAAGACGGTTTAGCTTAGACTTTGTGTTTCAATATATGACATGAAAATGTTGGCAGAGGAAACTGCTGTCTTTGTGTCCATCGCGGTACGGTGGGTTTGTAGGTAGAGCTTTCCACTGAACTGGAAAGAATTTTCTTTTTGGATTAATCTAATCATTTCTCGCATTTAGTGTGTAGGACTAGGAGGGCTGTAGAAATTTTTGACATACGCTCTGCAACCGATTTCACAATCTCGTTCCCAGAGGCCGCGATCCTTTTGGTCAGCGACGGGGATCGGGACCTCTGGCCAGATGGGATTTTGAGTCCGCAAATCGCGGACTTCCGGTTACACTGCGCAGAATCAAAAGTAAAACCCAAGATGGCGGAGAGAAGTGGTCCAGATACATTTCTGGAAGGCGTGAAATTTGGATTAAAAAAAGTTGGAAAAGCAAATATTACCCTCAAACAGAAACAAGAAGAGATCCTAAAAATAATCGCTTTGACGCAAAAAGATGTTTTAGCCGTTCTCCCAACTGGTTACGGAAAATCGAAGAAGGATTGGCATTCAGCGCACTAGAAAACTTGATGGAGTTTCAGTTAATTTTTGCTCACACGGAAGCCCTTGTAGGCAACAAAAATGTCATTAAGCTCCTGAAGACTGCAGAGTTGAAAGCCATCGTTGTGGATGAAGCACATCTCGTTGTTGACTGGTGAGTGCTACATGTGTATGTTGTGGTTTATTTTTTTATCTCAGGTAATTTTTCTTTTTCTTTTATTGTTGGGTATGGTTATTATATGCCAATGTTTTGAGATAAAAAATTAACTACAACATATATATAAATATATAAGCTTATGATGTTACAGGTCAAATTTGATTTCGGGTTAAATTTTTTAACCTAGGTTGATTCTCAGTTTTCTTTGTCCCCTAGCCCTAATTCAACAAAACAAAGAAAATTGAGAATCAACCTAAGTTAAAAAAATTTAACCTGAAATCAAATTTGACCTGCAACATATATCCACTCCAGATAGCATAGTTAAAAGCAGTAGTAATGATAATGCAGAATTTGTGCGATTAAGAAAAAAACCTGTTTGGATAATTTATTCTAAAATGTTCCATTGTGTGGTTCTAGGAAATAACACTACCAATCTGAACCCCATGGAGGGAAATAATTTTCCAACGGTTAAGCAGAAGGTCTATACCTATTCCTGTGTTTCAACCCAAATGAAACCTACAGGCAGAGGGGAATAAAGATATTTTCTTGAAAAACATGTTACCAGCATATTCAAAGGTATCCAGTCTGAAAGATATCCAAAAACGTTATGGCTTATTAAGAGAGTGGTATGGGTACTTTTCTTTTAGGAAGGATTTTAGACCATCCTATGGGAAGCTGGCAACAATAGGAAGCATTCTTCCACAAGTACCATTGCTTGGTCTCACAGCCACTGCTACCAAAAAGACCAGAACTGACATCATTGAGTCCCTGGGCATGGTTAATGCATTTGAAATCCTTGGAAACCCTGACCGACCAAAATATTTATTTTTCATCATCCTCTAGACCAGACAGAGGAGAGGATAAACTAAATGAAATATTGGTCCCCTTGGTGGAAAGCTTAAAGAAGGAGAGAACAAAGTTTCCTTTTGCTGTTGTTTTTGGCACATTAGAGACCATTTCATCATGTTATGCCTTTTTCAGCTGAGCAATTGGGAAAGAGCAGTATGAACCTATAGATGCCCTGCCCAAGGCTGAGAATAGGTTATTTACTCAATTTCATGCCCAATACCCACTTCAAGAAAAGGAAAGAATAATTGATGGCCTTACCTTGGGGAAATCTAAACTCAGGATTGTCTTTGCAACAGTCGCATTTGGTGTTGGTCTGGACTTAAAAGATATTAGACAAATAATTCATGTAGGGCTGCCATGTAGGGCCAGTAGAGATGGTCTTCCTTCTAAAGCCCACATCTACTACAATTCATACGATACATCAAAGGCAAGAAAACATTTGTCTTCAGTGATGAGGGATTATGTGCAATCAAAAAAGAGTAAAAGAGAAATTATTATGGGGTATTTTGGGTTTTCCCCTCTGCCACTTGACACAGCTCATGCATGTTGTGATTATCATGAGAAACTTTGTAACTGTGATGACTGTGTGCTCTCTGATGTTGCATCTGTAATGGCTCCCACCTTGACAGATGAAGCCCCTCCATTACCTAATGAAGATGTTTATCCTTAGTCCGAACTAAACATGGAGCAAATAGCCAAGCTGAATGAAGAACTTGTTAAATTTAGACTCTCATTACCTGGACATGGTAGGACATCAGTAGGGAGTACAAGCCTAAGTAGTGGTGTTACTATAAAGTTAATTCGTGAAGTGGCTGAAAATGCACATACATTCTCTTCAGCAGAGGACATTGAAAAAAGACTTCCTATCTGTAGCCAAAGTCATGCCATTTCAATGTGGAATATTGTTAAACAATTCCTTCAGAAAGCGTGAAAAACAAAGTCTTAACTTGTATCATTGGTTTAAAATAATCAGATAGCTGAGTGTAGTATTACGTGAGTCATGAATTTCCCATGCTGTTTTGCATAAAGCGGGCTTCTATCTGTTGTGTTTATACTGGGTAACAAAAATGTACTGACCATTTAATTTGCAGACAGGTTATAATGTGACCAGTAAAATGTGTACTCTGATTAACTTTGTGTAAGTTGAAGCTTATCTGTTCGGTAAGAAAAGTGAGTACATTTTTTGTATTTCTTATCACAGATTCATGTGTTTGTACAGTTCTTTATTTTTATAGACTTAAAAGAGTGGTCATATGATACTGATCAAGCAAGTTATCAAAAATTATTTGGGTTTCATTTCCCACCAACACACTACCATGGTTCTTGTGAAAGTAACCCTTTCATTTGTTTGAAAATGACAAAACCCTTTTTTGAGTGCATGTACAGTGTTAAGAGAAACGGTGATTGCAGGACAATGACTACCTTTGTTAACCATTTTTGACACAGGACTATGGTTCCAAAGGAAGACCTTAAAGGTTTTACAACGATTTGAAGTGAAATCTTTTTGTGAAATTTTATCCTTAGAAAAGAATTACAATAACTGGGCAAACAAGTGGTATCTGATGGGTGATCACAAACTTTTCTTGCTTCTGTCATGTTTCATGGACTCTGCTAGCCAATTATTAATTCAACTGTTGATTGAACAAGAGAAATATATTATTTCAAATGTAGCTAAAGGAGACCAGACCTACATTTGTTTACTGTTATGGAAGAGTAACAAATCTATGCAGATTGTGATTGATTTGAGTTTGTCTCAGCACATTCCTGAGTATAGTGGACATACTAGATTTTGCAAAGTGGTGAAACATAAACCGGTAATAAATAAAAAAAAATACAAACTTCACCATGATTGTCTTAAACCATCAATAACTTCTTTCTTTCAGTAAGCATCCATTTTCTTATTGGTTGGTTGATTAATTGCCAAGCTAACAGGAAGTCAGGCACATTGTAATTTCTGTTTGTTGCATACTAACAGCCTTCAGGAGCATTGTCACATTTATATCGTATGACTATTCACTTAAAAGGGCCACTATAATTGTCCTTATGAAATAACTGAGGCAAAGCACTTTGATACATTAATCATCCAAATCATCTTCTTCTAGTGTGTTTTCATCATTACTCAATTCATTCTCCTCATCATTGTCTTCCTCATTGCAGTCATGGATACCAGAAAAAAGCTTGTGCTTGTGGTTTGTCAGCCAGGTGTTAAGCAGTGCTACATGCAACTGTTCAAGAGGACTCTTTGTTACATTTGGAAATGAATGAAGTGTTCTACATAAATTTTTTGGTACTGAAAAGGTTTAGCCAGTTGCACGATAGTTAACATTGCTTTGACATCTTGCGTGGTACAAGCATGAGTGTGCTTGGTTGACTCTGGTTGTATGCCACACTCATAGTCATACTGGGTGCAACATTCTTTAAGACCATATGCTGCAGCAGAACATCTTTGCACAGCTTTCAGCGTTTTGTTTCCACACAGTCCCCTAAGAGAGACCTTGTTGTCTCCAACCAGGTGTTCCATTTTTAAGTCATTTGCATAATTGGATCCTTCTCCTCCATTTGTTAAGCCTCTTTATTGTCTGCAGAATAATAAAATACAAATTACCAGATCTGCATTTGTCTTTGGCAAGATTCATTACGGATAAAATTTAACCAATCAAAAATAAAGGATAATGCTCCTTAAAGCCCCAGTATGGCTGCAATAATGCACATGAAAGCAGAGTTAATTGTGATACATTAAATACCCTTTCAGTGGCATGTCCAGTACTGAGCAATATACTGTTCATCTTCTGTATCAAGCTTAGTTCTTTCCACCGGGTAAACATTAGTATGACATATGCAGTACAAAGTGGGGCAATCTGCTTTGCACTGTCTTCATGAGCTGTACATTTGGAATTGCTACAGCAGCTAGGACATCCAGTACATCAGGGACATGCTCCTTCATTTCTGTGATAACCTCATTTCAGAAATTCTTTAACTCCTATTTAGAAATCAACTTGAATTAGATTAACAGGTTTTTCTAGAACATAAAATTATACATTTGTATGTTATCATTTTATTTCCCTTAACCCATTCGCTCTTGGAGATTTTGCCGAAAAACGCGTTTTGAAGCTAGTCGAGTGGTTTTCTGGTCACTGTCGTGCTATAAAGAGCTAAAACTTACCACAAACCGGTTTACAGGTCGTACACCTGGCGGCCTTCTGATGCAGATGCAAAATATCAGCTTGCGAAGTTCGGGCATGCGCAGAAAGCAATTTCGAGATAGTTTTTGGGTTTAAAAGTGACACAGCAGTCTTGACTTTTACTTTTCGCTTTCTTTCCTCCCTTCTTTTTTCGCTTTTCTTGCCTCATTTTCATGGAGATTTTCATGGAGATTTTCAGGTCCTTGTCACGTGGTTTTTTGCTTCTTTCTCCGGTGTCCTTGACTGAATTGTGCTCATTCTGGTATGGTTTGAAAGATCTCTTCACTCTGCACACGTGTGCGAAGAAAGTTGTCCTTGACCGTTGAAACTGATGACGTCACAAAGGGTAGAAAGGACCTGGATCCGCACGGGCAGTTACGGGCGGTTCAGGCGCGAATGGGTTAATTAAAAAATGGATCATATTTATTTATTTTTATTTAGGGTTACAAAAGATTATTTTGATCAAATTCCAATTTCAAGTGAATTTTAAATTTTATTGGTTAATTACAATACCTGAATGCATTTTACTTTCTACACTAGCCCTTAACCATAAGGTTGTTAGTAATTACCTTGTGCTTGGAAGGTGGAGTACGAAGTACAGATGAATTCTCAGTACTCCTGTTGCAAAGTTTCTGACACTGTTCATTCACATCGTTCAAGAACAAACACTTAATACTACATAACTGCATTTCTCAAAGGTAGGCATTGCATGAGTATCTCAGCAATCTGATGGTCCGTGGATCCAGTCAACATCAGTGTGGCCAACATGTCAACAGTCTTGGTTCCCTCCTCCAAAAGTGGCTCATCTTTGAGCTGATATAAATTTTAAAAAGCCAGAAAGAAAAATATATTAAAGTTAATTTCACTATTAATTTTATTATTTATTTATTTAGTTATTTAGTTAGTTAGTTTCTTTTTGGGTGAAGGGCAGTCAAAATTGAGTTCCATAAAATTACAGACATTCAGTAACTGTTTATTGTCTTTATCTATAAGGAATGACTATTACACGTAATAGTTGATAAAAAAAGAAAAGTAGAGCTTACTGGTTACTTACATTTTTGGCTTGAATGTTTACTTCAAACACAACAGGATGGTCTCTCAATTAAGGTCATCTGAAACTCAACAACTCAGCCATTATGCAATTAGATTATAAAAGAGAGAAAAAAAAACATTTAAGTAACCCAACAAGCATTTTTTTTTATTTATTATAACGTTAATTGTGTGTTTCAAGCTTATAATATAATCTATATTATATTTGCTTTATAAATACTTACAAGTATCTCTTTGATAGCTAATGTAAGCCACTTAGCATGACATAAGCTTGATTAAAAATTTGGGTATATTATTTTGTCGTCTCGTACAGAGATCAGGATGCAATATCTCCTCACCCTGCATGTATCAGATCATGTATCATGTATCATGGATGTGAGAAAAAAAATTATATATATATACCATGGCAAATATTGCTTTTCAGCTTGAGAATATTAAACTCGTTGGAAGGACAGAAAGGAAAATGTCAATTTTGATATCACAGCTTGAAGGGCCTAACAGCCAAGAACTAATCTACCTTTATATGTAATGGTGTACAGCTATTGAATTTAGCGAAAATAAAATACCAATAGGTTCAGCAAACCAGACTCCGAGAGGATTTCTTCTTGTTTTGGTAGCGTTGAGGGCTCTGCTGAGGATTTAACTCTCTTTGCAAGCTTTCGTTTTTTCCCGTCGCGTTCTGATGAAGGTGCAGGAAGTATTGGCCGTGTCGAGTTTTCGAAGGTTTGTCCATGTGCATCTGCTGTGCATGGGGCTCATTAG